CTATCCAATCCTATATATATATATTTCATTCCATTCGATTTGGGGCGTATGCAATGGAATGAAATAATTTTGTTTGGTTCCATTCCATCAATCCAGATATAGCCAAAAAATAGAAAACAATCCTGATGGTGTTTAATAGAAAGTGTTAGTTAATGGTAGATAGAGTAATAGTACCTTTTGTTGGCAATCAGGATAGTAGAGACATTTATGCTAGAGGCATCCGTTGAAGGACAAAGAAAACAAACTCCAACTATCATTGGCTTCAAGCATCCAACCAATGCCACCGGACTAGTCTTCAATCTGCATTTATGATAAACTTGAAGCATATAAGGTAAATTAATTATTTGTGGAATCATAATTTAAACACGTCAAAAGTTTTATGGTTAAATCGAAATAATTAACTATTGGCTTAATACCTCTTTTGGTCCAGACTTTAGTCAATATTTCTTTTTGGTCCCTCAACAAAAAATGTTACATATAAGTCCATTAACTTATACTCTGTTACATATTTTAGTCCTTTATGTTAGTTTTTGTTGAAAAAACGTTAAAATTTGCTTTGTTGGACTTTTAATGACTGAGTTGGAATATTTATTTATTTTATATTAATGATCTTTCCATAAACATCTCAATTTCAAAAAATCCTGTAGTTGAATTTTCAACCCCAGTTATTGACAAACTCTTACAGTACATTACTGAAAACTCATCAAGTTCTTCCTTCAACTCTTCCACCACCACTGTCTCCTCGATTTCATTTCATTCTTCTTCTTATTGTTGTTCCCTTTCTTTTTCATCTTCACAACAATGTCTCAGTATCTTAACAATTGGTTCGTAACCTAAAAATGTTTGTTCCTCCATTTTACACTAAAATTAACAAAAAATTTCAATTACAACAATGTCTCAGCATGGCCCATCAACAAGTCGATCTAAAAAATCATATTTTTTATCAACAATAGTTTCCAATAAATAATGAGAAATATAGAAAAGAATTAGTTTCTAAAATCTAAGGAAAAATTCCTTAATCTTTTTACCATATCTAAGAAAAAAACTTTTTTTTTTAAAACCCAGATTAAATTTAAGATGAAAGACCCTAATCCCTCAACCTAAATGGTTTTGAAGTTAAATTTAATAACTGAGTCATTTCCAAAATGCATAAAAGGTGTAAATATAAGAATTTGTGGTTGTGAAAGAAGCATGAAGTGGGATTAGTGAATAGAAATGTGTATTGTTTGAAAGACAACGATCTATGAAATATGGTTTGATTAGATGATAGAAGAAATATTTGGGGGTTGGAAAAGGAATCAATATAGAGAATAAAATGGAAAAAGAATCAATTTAGGGGTTGAATCATTGCTTGCAATCTTTGATATTGAACTCTAATTTGGAGAGAAAAATGGAAGATGGAAGATGGTGATTTAACCCTAATTTGGAGAAGAAAATGAAAGATGGAGAGATTCAATTTACCATTTGCTTACATGGTATGCCACCTCTGGAATAATTAACGTTTTCTCAAACAAACTAACGGTAAAGACTAAATGGTTTAACGGAAGTGGAGTTAAGGGATCATTAGGAACGTTTTTTAATTCGGGGACCAAAGCGAAACTTCGCCTAAAGTTAAGGAACATATGGACTAATTACGCCTTAACTATTTAATTAAAGAAATTTCACTTAAACTATTTCTAATTTATCTATATAGAGAGATTTCTTTAAATGTGTCAAAAAGCCAGAATACATGTATTCATATATGATTTTCTGTTGATGTGATAAAAATTTTAATAATCAATTTGCACTATTATTTAAAATTTCATAAAATCATGTATTGCTAATAATGATTCAATATATAAGATATAATTTTATAGAAAAGGTTACTATAAATTTGAAGAATGGCTTATTTATATATTCTCAGAAACTTGGTGCTTAATTCACAATGTATTCACAAAGAAATCATGAAGAAAAAACTGAAAACAACGATGAAAAGAGTAGCGCACACCTTGGCTGGCCAAGAAGGGAAACCCTTGACAATGTATTCACAAAGAAATCATGAAGAAAAAACTGAAAACAATGATGAAAAGAGTATCGCACACCTTGGCAGGCCAAGAAGGGTTTACAAGATCGCCTAAACGCAAGTTTTCGTTTGCCTTAGCCTTGTTCGCTTCGCGTCGACGCGCATGAGACATGACTTGGAAAAACCGTGGGAATTGAAAGGTTACGATCAGAACGTTGAAGAGGGTTCAGGCGGGGACCTTGTCATTAATAGTGTCGTTACACTTTTACTACTTTTTATCTATTTTACAATTTATAGTTATTATAAATGCTGGGTTTTTTTTTAAATTTAGCCTTAATTACAATTATGGTCCCTCTATTTTATATTTTTTGAGTTTTGGTCTCCCTATTTTAAAAATTACAATTTTGGTCTTTTTTTTAAGTTTTGAGTTTAATTTTAGTCCCCTCTCCAATTTTAAATTTTTTTTAATGATGTGGCAATATCTAAAATGACGTGTCTAATGTCAAGTCATTTTTAAAAAATTAATTTAAGACTTTTTTTATTGATTATGATAATTAACTTGTTAATATTATTTTAATTAATTAATAATTAATATTTTATTATTAATTTTTATAATTAATTAATTAATCAAAATTTTAAGTGAAATTTTTTTGGCCTTTAGTTATTGGCCCATGTCTTTGGTCCATCTTTCTAACCCACAATTGAATTGTTGTGTTTGTTTCAGCTTTATAAACACTTTTATGTCTTATACAAAAATCGAGGTGGGACACAATCAATACTACTGTTGCATCTTCCATAACATCATCAACATGAAAATTAGTAAAATAGAAACATAAGACACAATCAAATTACCCTCAAAGTTAAAACAAAATCCACAACTATATTTCTTTCTCTTTCTCCTACCTAAACCAAAGCATCTTCTTCCTCTCTCTCTTTTTATCTTCTACCAAAATTTCAATTCAATTGACACAGATTGATGCATTTCCATCCATTCAAGGTTCCAAATTTGCATTACTTGCTACTTCTACTTCTCAGTATTTTCATCAAGCACTTAACTTGCATTACTATTTCAGTGTTGATCTTAGCTATTTTTGATCAGATTGTTTGTTTTTGCATTGATGATTTATTTCTGCTTCATATTTGTGATTTACATTCTAGTTCATCTTTTTGACTTGCTTATTTGTGTGTTGAGTAGGAAGAGTCTTTGAAGAGTGTCTCTTTAGTGTAGATCTGAGCAAGGGTCTCCTCAATTTTGACTTGAAGTGAAGAGAATAAGACAAAGCTGGCTACCACACTATCATCTTGAAGGCTTGCTTCCAATGGCGGCAGCCATGCTTCCACTTATCTGGTTGGTACCTTCATACACGATTTGGGATTTGTAAAGTTTAAAACTTTAAAAGGGTTATGATCAGTGTAAGCGTGTAGTATGCAATTTAGGGATCTTATTATCAGTTGGTTATATCTGGATATTTTCTGTTTAATTCATATTGATTTTCTACTATACTAGATGTTTGACAGTATTATAAAGTTTGAAGAAAATGTATTAGATTTAATTCAGTAATATAGTCCCCATTTTCCTGCTACTTATCTTAAATTGTCCCTTAGAAACATATTTGTGACAGTTTTGTAGATTGAGAGAAGTACAGTTATGGAAAAATGACAAGAAATATTTATTGTAGAAGAGATGACATTAGCAACTGTACATCTCATAGAAGAAATGACATTAGCAACTGTACATCTCATGCTGAGGAAAAACATTCATTATAGAAGAATATATCAATCATTATTAATTCAGCAATACAACCTGTGGGGTGCAGGGGAAAACTAGAAAATATTTAATATTCTTGATTAGCAAGATAATCATAAAGTTGTAATATACATTGGTTTACCTATTGTCGGTTAGAACTCGATCTCCTGTTTTATCTCCTCTTTCTTATAGAACACTTTACTTAGTATAAAATGCCTTTTAGAAGTCCCACATTGATTTTTGTATAAGATATAAAAGTGTTTATAAAGCTGAAACAAACACAACAATTCAATTGTGGGTTGGAAAGATGGAACAAAGACATGGACCAATAACTAAAGGCCCAAAGAGTTTCATTTAAAATATTAATCATTAATTAAAATAAATTAATTATCCTAGTCAATAAAAAAATCTTAAATTAATTTTTTTTAAATGACCTGGCATTTGATGACGATTAAATTATTTTTTTAAAAATGACCTGGCATTAGACACGTCATCTTAGATAGTGTCACGTCATTAAAAAAAATTAAAATTAGAGAGGGGACTAAAATCAAACTCAAAACTTTAAAAAGGGACCAAAATCATGGTTTTTAAAATGGGAGGACCAAAATACAAAATAGAGGAACCATAGTTGCAATTAAGCCAAAAATTTATAATAAATATCTTCATTATTCCTATTTTTTTATTAATTATAGTATAAAATTGTGTCAATCTCATTAATATTAATGTGATTTGCTGTTTTTCAATTTCTTTTTCTTTATTTTTTAATTTCTTTTTATTTACTAATTTTTAATTTATTAATTCATATTTTATGTTGCTCATTCTTTCATCATCATTATTTGTTTTTCTCATTCTACAATCTCATTTTAGTTACATATTAAATTATTATAAAAGTGCGTATATGCGTAGGGGGTGTTCATGGATTCAGACTAATCCGCAAACTCATTCGTCCAATCCAACATTTATATTTATCCATCTCAAGTATATATGGATTCAATCTGATTTAACTCATTAGGTATTAAAAAATAAATTTTATTCAACTTAAATATACAGTAGAAACTCTTTAAATTAATACTCGGTAAGTTAATAAACTCTCTAAAATAATAAATTTGTTTGGTCCCAATTTGGGCCAATGTAAAAAATTGAAAAACTCGATAAAATAATAAGATAATACTTTTTTGGGAGATCCTTTTACAATTTTCGATTCCAAGAAAATCATAAATTAATAATTCATATAAACTGGAAAAAAATATATTACACTCTATTGAAATATGATTCAATAGTTGTCTGTTTTCCTTTAAAGTTCAAGTCTATTTGGAGTTCATCTCTAATTTTTCTTATTGCATCTAGTAGCTCAGGTGTTGTATTTGTGTATTGTATCATAAAGTTGTGAAAAGTGCTCGACGTCATAAGTGCTTCCTTTCGCGTAACAGGCTCCAAAGACATCGTATCATCTTCGTCGTCATCCTCTGCATTGTTCCTAATGATAGTACCCACAATATTGTATCTTCTAAACTCTGAACCTCCGAACATGCTTCATTTTCACCTGGGTAGTTCATTAGATTGTCGATATCCATCTTATTACGATAGCCACATTGATTGATCATAGTCTCGAGGTCTTGAGTTTCTTCATCAAAAGTGGATTCATCCAAATTTCTTGCAACGTCACTAACTGAACGAACTTTACAGTGTCGGAAGCAATTCGCTATTGTTTCTTTTCGAACATCTATCGTCCAAGCTGGGATCGCCAAATTGATAGCATCAAGGACCTTTATCTTTCCTGGATCAGATTGTCTCACCTCATAACCTACCAATATTTTGCGGTAAAACCTTCTACGGTAATGCATCTTGAAAGCTCTTATTATCCCAGCATCGCAAGGTTGAATCTTTGATGTCATGTTGGGTGGCAAGAAGAGTAACTCAATGTTTCTTAGCCCTTCAATATTTCTTGGATGTGCTGGACAATTATCCACCACAAGTATAACTCTTCTACCATGCATCATTTTGTCAAATGAACGAACATATTCATCAAAAAGCACACTAGTCATCCATGCTTTTTTGTTAGCTCGATACTGACAATCCAAGCTATTCATGTTGACATTCTTGAAGCAACGAGGCTTTGCATATTTCCCAATAATCCATAGAGGGATTTTTTCAGAGCCATCTTCATTGTAACAACTAACTACCGTTAGCCTATCTTTATCTTGTTTTCTTCCTTTAAGTTGTTTTGTTGCCAGTAAATGATCAGCTTGTAGCCTATAAAACAACCCAGTTTCATCCATATTGAGAACATCTTTCATAAGGAGCTGATCAATTTTCTCCCGAATCGATACCAATTTCTGCTCCATGTCTTGTACATCAACAGACCCACTCTCGCCGAAACGACGAAATAACTTAATGCCATGTCGGTTCTTGAATTTCCCAAGACATCCTATAGAGAATTTAAAATCTGAATCATCATGAGGATACACGAGTTTCATTGTATCTCTTGCCTTCTGTAAAATTAATTCTCCTGTGATATTCACACATTCTTAATGATGGAGAAACCACTCATAAACAACCTTCCCCATGTCAGGATATTTTGTTGGTTTGTGTCTTTTGATCTCTGCTCTTCCCTTTTCTATTTCAGCAGAGAGATAGTCATCTGACCGTTTAAGTGTGTTTGATATTATTCCTTAACTAACTTTCAACTAAAATTTTCCCTCAAGCCATCTCTGCAAGTCTTTTTGTGTGCTTGCAGGATTATCTCTCTTGTACTCACACAAATCTTTACGTATTTGATTTGACATAGTTGATTTTGCAACACCTTTTAGATGAGAAGCCATTTTGTGAGATATGGTTTAAATACTCTAACACATTCATGTCATTTATATATGGAAAACTTGCTTAAAAACACATTGAACACATTTGTTCCTCTTGTTTACATTTATTGTACTTCAAAAGTCATTATTGATTTCCAATGCATATGAACACAATAGTTACTAATTTACGTTGAGTCTCAAGGTTCGCTGCAACGTAATTCTAAGAGGCATAGACTAATTTGCCTTTTTGTTTGGTATGTACAGTATAATCACTTAAAAACTCTTTAAATTAATAATTATTAATTTATCGATAAATTAATAACTCTCTAAATTAATAAATTTATTCGGTCCTGACATTATTAATTTAAAGAGTGTCTACTGTAATACTAAAAATTTATGACTTTTTAATGATTTTGTAACGTAAATGTGTTAATTAAATTGATATTTTATAAAAATAATATTTAATGGATGACCCACGAACTCAACCCAACTCAACTCATTGATAAGTGAGTTGGTTTAGTTTGGGTTTAGTCTTAAAAGTACGGGTTAAACACTCAACTCAATCCAAAAAATATTAATCGAGTCGGATATTGAATTTAATCAAATTAAGCCCAACTCAACTCGTGAACATCCCTATTTATACAGTAAACACTTTATTAACTAATTAAAAATATATGTTCTTATTTTTATTTTAATAAACTTTGGTTAATCACGAGATATATTATATTTTATTAATAATTAAATTTGTCGAATAGATTATGTTGTTAAAGTGGTCATGTTAAAAGATTAAATAAAATATTTTGTCACATGTATATTAAAATTTCAATTGTATATTAAATTATATTATATTTTGCTATTTATTCTACATTATATTTCAAATAATTTATTTATAAATTTTAATAAACAGAAGAAGATTCTATAAAATTAAATAGAACATTGTACGGGTGGTCGACTAGTTAAAATAAATTGTTTAAAAGAATGATTTTTTTTTCATTAAAACCATTCATTTTATTCTTTAATACTTAAAAAAGTAAATTTTAGGCAAAATAATATTTTTCGTCCCTTAACTTTATCTCGGGGTCCATTTTGGTCCCTTGTCTTTAAAAAGTGTCAAGTTGGTCCTTTAACTTTTAAAATGGTGTCACGTTTATCCTTCTGTGTGTTGCCGTTAGTCAAACTTTGAAAAAATTGCCACGTTTGTCCAGATGGAGTTGCTAACGTGGATATGAAGTGTCTTAGAGGAAGAAAAAACAATCTAACATTTTCATTACCCAGAAGAAGGCACGATACGCTTGGAGAGGTGTAATAATATCTTGATCGCTTGGAGAATTCATTGAATCATTTAAGACGATTCAAGGTTTGCAGAGGCGAAGATTCAAGACGTGAAGGATTGAGGGCGGAGGATTGAAGAGATTCAAGAGATATAATCAAAAGGTTAGTTTATTTCGCTCTGATTTAGGGTTTTCTGGTAGAGGTTCAGATTTAGGGCTTATGTAAATTTGTTAGTGTAAACTTTAATTACTTAGATGATATGATTAGGTATCATGGATGAATACATAACTCTCAAAATTCATCATAGTGGTGAGTTTACAGATGAAGGTCGTAGTGTATATGAGAATGGAGTAGTAGATGATTTGAGGGTAGATGTAGACAGGTGGAGTTATTTTAAGCTAGTTGGTGTATTGAAAGACTTAGGTTATAGGGAGTTTGAAACAATATTTTACAAGGACCCTCAATTTGGGATGAATCCACTTGTTGATGACAATGGTGCTTTAGAAATTGCAGATCTGTATAGGGTGCACCAAAATGTTGATATTTATATTGAACGCACATTGTCTCAACCTGACTACTGTGATGTTGTTGTTGATGAAGTTGATGAGGACCCTGCTGAAATTGTATATGAGGTAGAGGAGTTACTTAGTCAACTGCATGATGAAGTTGTGAAAGTTGAACAAACCACTGTTGGGTTGGAGGAAGGTGATGTTAGAGTTGATGAAGCCACTGTTGGGTTGGAAGAAGGTGATGTTAGAGTTAATAAAGCCACTGCTGGGTTGGAGGAAGGGAATCCTGCAGGGGATGTTAGAGTTTATAAGGATCCTGCAGTGGATGAACATACTATTGGAGTTGAAAAAGGGAGAAGAAGGTAATGTTGGAGTTGAAAAAGGGAATCATGTCGGGGAAGAAGGTAATGTTGGAGTTGAAAAAGGTAAAGTTGCAGTGTATGATGACTTAAGTCTATCATCTGATGATAGTGTAGATGAGGACTACAATTATGATAGCGCACAAGATGTTGTTTTTGAGAATGTGTCTAATGGGTGTGATGATATTGAGGAGGATTAACTTGATACCCTAGTTGGACTTGGTTTTTAGATCTGTTAATTGATGACCTTGGAGGCAAAGATGAATGCCCGACTTACACCTTCATCTCAGACCAACAAAAGGCAAGTTTTTCATTTATTCTTATGGTTTTATGTGTTTATGTCATGCTATATTGTAATGCTACATTGTATGTTATTGCAGGGTCTGCTACCTACTATGGATGAGCAATTGCCAATGGTAGAACATAGGTTTTGTGTTAGGCACCTCTATAACAATTTTAGGAAAAAGTTTCCTAGAAAGATGTTGAAGGGCATAATATGGAAGGCTGCCAAGTCAACATACCCACAGGCATGGGAAAGAGAGATGAAAGGAATGAGAGCCATCAATGAAGAAGCATTTAAACATATGATGAAGACCCCACCAAGGTTTTGGAGTAGATCTTACTTTAGGACTGAAAACAAATGTGATGTTGTTTTCAACAACATGTTTGAGTCCTTTAATAGTGTCATTCTTGAAGCAAGGGCAAAACCTCTAATCAATATGTTAGAAGACATTAGAACATACATGATGGAGAGATGGGCAAATGACAAAATGAGATTTGGAACTTTGGATGAGAATGATATTTTGCCCTATATTAGAAAGAAACTTGATGTCACAAGCACATACACCAACAACTGGCTAGTAAGGTATGTCACAACATACATTAATTCTTTAGGATGTCTATGACATACATGTGACTAATATTTTGTTTGTTTAATCATTTAGGACGTCTGATGAACATATATTTGAAGTAAGGCACCTAGAAAATCAAGCTGACAAGTTTGTTGTGAACCTGAAAGGTCAGATATATTCATGCAGAAGATGGGAACTCGCAAGACTCTCATGTGTTCATGCTCATTCTGCTATGAAGAGTAGGAATTTCAAAATTAATACTTACATTCCAAATTATTGTAGGGTTTCAAGGTATAAGGCAGTTTATAAGCATGTGATCTACCCTGTTAATGGAGCAAACTTGTGGATTAAGACACCATATCCAGATGTGCAACCACCAAAGTTCAGGAAGATGCCTGGTAGACCTAAAAAGAGGAGGAACCTAGAACAAGGTGAAATTGATGGGTCTGCTTGCAAATTAAAAAGAACAAGTTTTTTGGTAAAGTGTAGTAGGTGTAAGAAAGCAGGACATTACAAGTCTACATGTAAGGACACAACAACTCAGACTACTCAACAACCTAGCCAACAATCAGCCCAACCCTCTCATACTCCAACTCAGACTGCTCAACAACCTAGCCAACACACTCATACTTCAACAACTCAGCCTACTCAACAACCAAGCCAACCCTCTTAGAACAAAGAAACACACAATGCTAAGAGAACTTCTACTCAACAATCTAGCCAAGCATCTCAGACTTCTAA